AGTACAAAGGGGTCATTAGTTCATTCAAACACCACAAGTATATGACGTGAGTACTGAACAGAATGTCTGGCAGCAGAGGGACGAGAAGATCGAACAATAAAGAATGAAGAAAGAATGCGATTTGTATGGAAATGCAAGAACAAAGGGATTCTGAGTCATTTGAGACGATTGGTGAACAATTTGCAAATTAACGATTTAATATATGGTTGTTGCATATTACCAACTAGTTCTGTAGTTTGTTGTTAAATATATTCGATTGTCTCCACCTGTGTTCTCTTCACTATATTACCTGTAAAATGACATGCCTCATGTAGCAGACTGTTATTTGAGAATAAATTATTGTTATTATTAAGATATGCACAATTCGTTTACCAAATATCATCAGTATTGGCCTACTGTGAGGGAGAACAAACCAGCTTCCATCTGGAGAGGAAATTAGGAAAAGATTATTATTATTTTATTATTATTGGCTTTATTTAATATTATATTTTGGTACAATATAGAACTGTCAGCACAAGGTATTTCAACATGTTTCTTTTACAAAACAACAAAAAAGACAGATAAGTAAGGAAAAAGGTTGAATGAGTCTGAAAAACTGTACAACTTCTTAGGTTAGAGACATATTAAGAATGCGGGTTATTGACTTGGTTAACTCTAACAACCTATTCGCCACAGAGTATATTTTCAAGGTAAGGTATTATAGAACTTTTATACTTTCACTTGCCTGCATGGATTTTAGTGTAACTTCGTCTCGTTCTAACAGAAGATATACAATGAGAGAGGTATGAGTGAAGGGGATGGTTAGTATCTGATAAAATAACACCTGCCGGAATTTGCATGACTTAAGGTGTCTATCCACAATCATATTAATTATGATCTCGAACGATTCACCACACACCTTGCTAAGTGCCTTCAGCACGCACCGCAATACAGCAAAGTCTTTTCTCAAAAGCCCGGGAAAAAATAATGAAAACAGTAAAGAATAATAGGTAATATGCGAGAATCATCAAATTGTAGAAGTAAATAAAGAGTAATCCCAAGAGCGTGCGATCTTGTTATGTAGTAAGTCAGACGGAAAATCTTTTTTGATAACAATAAAACATGAGACAACCAAGAGAGGTCAGAAGAAAAGGTAACGCCAAGATAACTGACCTTCGACATTGTGTTTATCAAAGAGTATCCAATGGTACAAGCGTTATGGGATCTCAAAATGGTGTCTAGATGGCGTTCATGTCTCATGCTAAAGTTAATAGCTTGACATTTAGACGGATTAAGTATGAGACCATTAACAACAGACCAAAAATCAATACGAGACAAAAACCCATTCATTTCTGTGAGACGTGAAGAGGAAGAGATAAACATACGTACAATGAGATCATCTGCATATTTCACAAAAATGTTTATCGTGAAAGATGGCAGATCACACAGAGAAAGGAGAAAAGAAGAGGTGAAAGAACAGGTCCTTGTGGTACACCATCATGAGACAGTAGAGACTTTGAACACTTTCCTCCAAACATAGTGTACTTTTCCTATCCATAGAAGTAGGAACATAGCCATTTGGTTATCGAGCTGTTGGTGTTGATGCTGATTAATGTGTTAAGTAAACGTTTCCTTGGCAAAGAATCAAAAGCAGAAGTATGGTCCAGAATGGCACATCAAACATGCTTATTACCTTCTTCCAAATTGAACATTATTTTGTGATGCAGAACAACAACGGCACTTAAGGTGCTTCTGTTACATCTGTAAGCAAACCGATAAGGATCAACGTGCTCTTTTATCGCAGGTTGAAGTGGAAGTATCAATAATTTGTCGACTGTTTTAAGGAAGGGTGGAGTTATTGCAATAGGTCTAAATTTCACATTCTTATCAATAGATACCTTCTTTGGTACAGAGATGAATGAATTGCAACTGGAAAGAACTGGAAAGGATTGTCCATGACAGGGTTGGATAAAGAGTGCTGGTGGACGCCATATGCTTCTCCACGAAGTGTAACAGGCATAAGTAAACCAGTAATTTAAAAGTGCTTTTGTTTTATAAAAATCTTTGATATGTCAGTTAATCAATCATTATAAAGAGTCTTATATGAGTTTTAATCACATTATTATCATTGTTTATAAGTTGTTAAGTAGCACATCTTGGCCGGCAGTAAATGAGGACTAACCTAGTTATTAGTTTGACCAACCTTATCCATTAAAATACTGCTGACTATAGTAGTGGGCTTACCTCAATATCCATCAAGCTGTAATATGATAATTCTATACAAATAGTGACTAATTCCATATATGCTGAATATCGAAGACTAGTAAATAATTTAGGATCAGGCAATATTTTCATAAATACTAACGGATAATCCAGTACGTATAAATGGAGGTTAGGATCACTGACAGAATAAAAAGGATTATTACATTACATTATCGAATCTACCAAGGTTTAAAATAAACCTGGACGAGCCTTATGAAGAGAGCCTCCAATCACTAAAGCTTTACACATAAGAGTGCAAGCGTCTTAGAGGTGACCTTCTAATGACTTACAGTGTCCTTAACTATCTTGGACATCCCTTTAAACACCTACTTAAGTTTAGCTCCAACAAAAACCTAAAGGTCAACACGCAGAAACTAAGGACAATACACAGCAGAACGGATTATAGACATGACTTCCACTCCTTAGGAGTTGTCAAATGCTGTAATTGGCTGCGACTTCCCAGTAGTCCTTCAGGAGAAAACTTGACATATTCTTAAAAACTAAGGATAGTATCTTACTATGATCTACCAATTTCTTTTTCCCCTATTATCGTTAATATACCTAGGTTACTGCCTAGAGGTATTCGTGATGCATTTCTATTAGACACGGAAGCCCGTTAAGCCAAAGCTTATTCTACTCCTTCCACAACCATTTGAACCATTTAAGGTAATCGAAAAATAAGCATTGACACAAATATGCAGAGGTGGGAGCATGTGTCGCCGGCCATCATCCCGTGAAAAAAGACACAATATCTTACAGTACACTTGAACAAACTGACTTTTCGGATTCATTTTTATTCTCACCACATATATATGACCCATACAAATTGATATTTTATTTGATAACAACTCCTTATGATCTAGAATAATATCACGAACCAATGGTACTTATGCTGATACATTGTGCAAAGTACCTCATTAAATCGTATTTAGAAGGCTGAATTGGTTTCACTTCCTGCTGAGCAGTCCTATTACAAGCAAACTAGACAATTCGCCAAAAACAAAGCTATGGCCTGCTTAATGTTGGAGAATATAAAATCAATTTTCGATAGGTGTCTGGATGTCAGCATTGGAAATGTATTGATAGAGCCTTCAGTTCCAGTTTTGTAGCATTGCGAGAAGTGCTTGCTGAATTGTTCGCAAATAATATCGGAGTCGTCGACAATGCTTCCATTAACTATAAAGTATTCAGTCGTGCCAAGAGAATTCGACTTCACACGGGATTTAAAAAGCCGGGCTTTTACTATGTAGGGCTTTATTTTCTATATTTATAAAATACTTGCGTTTCGATGAATCATTTCTGTCGGTTAAGTTAAGTATACTCTGAAGTGCATACACGTTATTGTGCAAGTAGTGGCGGCGTTTTAATTTCCTTAGCCTTTTTTTAAAATTTTTAAAAGTATTCTGTCCCCTATTAGCATTATAAGCCACATGGCCAATAACTGGAGCAGTGCAGCCAGGCAGTATATCAGGTTGTGGTACAGATTGGAAAGTTCAATGTTAACATTATTTGATGTAAAATAGGTTTCCCATGGTAAACATCAAATAAGAGTTTCAGTCCGTTTCCAGGTTTGTTGATCAAAATGTCTGCTCTGGTACATAATTGAAGCTTTAGAGTTCAATTGTATGGCGTTTAAATAATGAATAATGAATGAACAAATCTATGATCACTCATACAAAACTTATGACTGGTATGCACTGAGATGATTGATTGTAAACAATAAATCAAGTATATAATTTCCTCTAGTCGGTTTTCGGACCTGTTGAACCCATCCACAAGTTTCTAGTGTTTCAACTAGCTTGTTATATCGATCTGGTACCGGAGTCGAACCTCACGTAATTTTTGGTAGAATAAAACTAGCTCCGATGATCTTAAAAGCATTCAGTTGCTGCGAAGCAATGGGACATCGTTTGCGTCTGGGGTTCCACTTCTCACATCAAGTGGTGGATTACTAGAATTCTCGTCGAGACTATAATTTATGAACGACCTTCGAGCGACACTATAGTAACTTTGAAAATGTCTATCTACTCACTCGAGCTAAATGAAAATTATGAAACAGTTTGAAGAATAAGGACTATGATTTACAATTGCTGGTTAGGATTGGGAATTAGATACATTGTTTTCATCACGAACTGACATCAGGTTAAATGTCAAAACTCTATTTGGCCAAACTGATGAATGAATTTCGCGACGAAACCCTAAATCTGATTGGTTCGTCCACAAATTCTCGTGTTGACAAATTCTCTACCAAAAGCATGCAATATCGGCGCCTTCCGTAGATAAATTTAAAGCGAAACTCAATCTTTTAATACTAACAGTTAAAAAGAATAATACAGGTTGCTTGGTCTCAGACCCTCAACATCCCAATCTCCCAAGTATTGGGAAATTTCGGGGAATTCTGGTTAAATTTTAGGGAAGTTCGGCGAAAACTCCGAAGTCAAATGACCTTGACCAAGGTAAAAGGGAAATTTCGGGGAAATATTGGGGTTTTGGTGCCATTTTCCCACAATTTCCCAAAAGTTTACTATGGTTGCTTCCCCAGAATTTTTCCGAAATGGGTCAAATTTTCTCCGAAATCGGGAGCTCGGGACCGAAAACTGATATGCATCATCGGTTTGATTTTCGATCTATCAATATGTGATTTGATTTTTAAAACACGTAAGTAATTCCGAATGTTTATGCTCATATTGAACATACCATAAACACTTAATTGGGTCTTCTCTTGCAGCGTTTTCGTTTGTATGCTTCAAAGAGTTATATTCAACCTTGACATTATTTTAATTTGCTATTAGAAATGCACTTTGTTCAGTTGTTACCGTCCCCTACGTAGTTCAGTGTGATGGTTTCGTTACAGTCGATTGACCACTATGAATTTAAGGAAATATTGGGAACGTATGAATGATTTCATGTAATACAATTGCACTCACTCATCTAGGGGAGCCTTCTCAGAAGTCCGTCTTGCAGAGGATCAGCGAAACCCTGGATCATTCGTAGCGATAAAGTGTATTCGCAAAAAATACCTTTCTAAATCTCAAAATTCCGAGTGTGCTATCAAGGAGGCTGAGTCACGCAAGGAGTCTCTCAACAATGAGATAGAAGTGCTGAGAAGGTTAGTTGATGAGTTCAAATCTCTATAAAACCAGACTCAGACACCCAAATATAGTACAGTTGTTTGATGTCTTAGAAGATGCGGAGTGTTACTACCTTGTCATGGAACTGTGAGTCAAATGTTTATTCTTAAAAATCAAAGTTCGTTTAATAATATATTATTGAATATTACTTAAGATGTACATAAAAAAGAACGTTGATTTCATTTAGCTTACCTTTGAATTGAATGTTTACATAAGTTACATGTAAATTTCTGCCTTGATTTTCGCCACAGTTTTTTCGGCTTAACCAAACGTGAATTGTTCCTAGCCACTGATACAAAAATACGTATTGAAATTCACATCAAACCTTTAGAATTAACCTGAATATTGTACAACTATCAGCAGATGTTTCACACCATCAAACAAAGCATATTCCAACGGCTCTTGTATAATATTTGAGTGCGAGAGGATGTTTTAGCAAAACATTGTTCTCAATAGCTTCATGTTTACACTTCATTTATCAACTCACGATTATTGTGTTACGACGATCAATACAAGACACATGTATGCAGATTATCCCTTAATAGACAATTAAAGCTCTTAGCTTCTCATCATCAGGTTACTGATTGAAGGCTCTTCAAGATTTATTTCCGCGTTGGAGTCCGCATTTTATTTTAGCCTTTGTACACCAATTAATCAGGCGAACAACAAGATGTGGGTGTCGATTCTCATTTTGGCCTTCATTCACTTAAATAAGTGTATCCAGTTTTTACTTTGATTTGCTTATGTGTGGTGCGAGTTATTCTAGATGATTTAGGCTACTGCAGTCGGTATAACGGGTATTCGGCAGGTTTTGTGTGAAAAAATTAAGTAATTTACACCCATTTATTGAAAGAAGGTACGTAAAAACCCACTTTGGTAATATTAATGCAACTGTTTCATGTGTTGTATGGCGAGCTATCCACAAACTACTAGTGTATTTATACAAAACGTCAGAGGCACACGGAAATGTGCTTTGATCATTTCAGTACAAAAATATATTTCAAATGTACACCTAGCGTAGTGGCCTTAAGATACCTTGCCTTATGAGATACTTGAAAACTTATTTTTTACTCTGTGTGGATCTGTAAATATACGCCACTAAAGTGTCAAACTAAGACAAAACATATTTCATACTCTTTGGCTCTCAGTAGTTCCTCAGGTGACTTAAGATTGCCCCAAAAATTAATACCAAATGAACGTTATTTTAGTTAGCACTTTTAATGAGTTAGTCAGCTTTATTCTAGTCAGTATCAGCTCTGTTCTTGTTTTATCATATCTTCGCGGAAAGTTTTTTATGCACTATCCCTACCGTTGCAACTTGTTATAATTTTTACTAAAAGTAATAACTAAATACAGACTCTCCAGAAAATAAATGAAGTTTTATTTGAGTAGTCTAATAAGATTCATTTTTGCCAACCCAGATATGCGATGCTAGCCAATGTAGACTTGGATTGGAAAATGGCATAGTGGTGATTAGTGGCAAAGGTCATCTGACAGTAAGTAGGGGCATTCGACCATCAAAACAGCTATGCTCATTATAGTTTTGTCAACTAAAGTTTGAAGTACTGTATGGCTAGATATTCGCAAATGTTTTAATAAATCTTGGCTGAATAAATGATTGTTATTATCCCTTTAGTAACATTTCTTACTATTACACAACAACAAAACATTTGTTGTCTTTTCGCGTTGTTTTCCACTTCACTGAACATAATATTTCTTGCCAACTGACTTATCTTTTACTTAATAAATGGCAAAACATGATGTGCAATAGTGCATCGACAATGAACTAAGAGGGTAATATACAGTGTTCTCTTTATCCACTCCAATGTATGAGCAATATAGAAAAGACTTTACGGGACGCACAAAGGATATTGTTAACACTGGACAATAAAGACAGGAAAGCGGTGAAGAATTACAGAAAAGCACTATAATCCGATGTTATAAAAGATCATAAAATACGGCAGTTTCTTTGATTTAACCTAGTTTAAACTCTCCTGGTTCAGAACTCATGACAAGTTAATCGATGTTATTTAAAGGTAGATATTCTTCATATTAAATAAACATGAGTCAATCTGAAAGTCCAACGTTTTAGACAAAACTCAAAGAATAGAACACTGAAACTTTCATTACTAAGATTTCATTCCAGGATGATTCACAACAATATAATGTTTTATAAAATAATGAATTATGATAGTATTGGGTCAGATTGTTAACAACTAATAACTATGATCAAATTAACCAAAATTTTACTTTAAAGCGATGTAATTTATATCATAATGATTTTTGAAGAAAAGTGGTTTTCATACCCTGATGACTTAATCAGAATACTCTGTTCATTCATTTTTTTTAACTGGATATTACTCTGATATTCGTTTACAAGACTTTATTTCCTTTTTCTGTCAAATTCAGAGTTACTGGAGGGGAATTATTTGATCGTATTGTTCAGAAAGGTAGTTATACTGAACGTGATGCAAGTGCCCTTATTCGACAAGTTCTGTTAGCTACTGAATATATGCATAGTCAAGGAGTTGTACATCGAGATTTGAAAGTGAGTAGATCCTTTTTAAAATGTAAATGCTTATTATTTTAAAAAATTGAATTATTATTAATTAAAGATCGAAGGGAATTTACATGATTTACGTTAGGCATACTGAATTAGTATTGCTTTTTATCTAGAAGCTTCTTTCAATTGCTGTATTAAAAATTGAATATTTTATTATTTAAATATGAGCATACCAATATCAGTTTATTTCATTATGACATTTAAAACATGAGTTGATCATTAGAAACTGATGTTTGTAAATAAATATCAATAACCGTTTCATGGAAGATACTAAATACAATTCATCATTTTGTTTGATCGATAAACTTATTTAAGGCCCAGTGCATATCTGAGTTTATAGTCGTAGATGAATACTGCAGTAAAAACGTATTTATCATCATTTGGTCTATTTGTTTGTGTTTTGGTTTTTATATTTTTAATTTCCTGATTCTATTAACTTCATTTCACTAATATTTCCTGCACTTCAATCTATAAATATTTGTATCTTCTCGTTGATATTAAACACTGTAGTTGATCAATCATTCTTGGCATTCATGTATCTTGAGAGGGTTCCCTCTATATTTCCAGATATTTGCGAGCATATTAGTAGGGTTAGATAGTGGCTAGCAATAGAATACAGAATATGCGTTTCATCCTAGTCGGGACTTGTTAACTGAAAGTATTGATATTTCCTACACTTCAGTTAGTCCTAAGTTTTATATAATTGTTTGTTTTGATTTACTATTTGGAGTGCTAATTTGTGACATGAAGTAAAGAAACTCAGATAAAAGCACATTTATCTCAAGTTGTATCTTATATCTGTTTATTGATAAATGTTTGTTTGAGTGTGTTTTACATCGAATACTTATTTTTATCTTACTATTTTCTATGAACTCCATGCTATTTATTATTTATGAATTAAAACCGATCGCGAAATATTTTTAATCATTTGGTGACGTTTAAAAACTGAGTTCTTCTTTATTATTATATTATTCAAGTGCTTAAGTTGTTCAATCATATAATTAAGAATAATAGTTTATATCCTAAATACGGTTCCATCAATAATACTAGCTTTTGTGCTGCGTATCAAATCTATAACCTAACATCGAAGCTATATTTGTGATTTCTTATTACTGAGTTTTAAACTTTTTATAAGACTATGAATTAGAAAGAAAATATCATTTCAGACTTTGAGAACACGTAGCACGAATTAGTCAGTTCGTTTTTGTCTCTTTCTACCGTAATAAATTTTAGGAGATTATGTAAGCCTCATTTAGTGTTCATTACTATTTAAAAGTTAGATTTTTCTGATTCTATTGTAGTTTAAAATAAATATTGTTTTTAAGCGTTTAAAACAAACTTGGTAATGTTATCATTATTCAAATTTTATTTTTTATAGGAATAGTTTTGACTTTAATCAAAATGATGTTTTAATGAAATAGTTCAAATTGCCAGTACCCAATTTAGTTTTACCTTTTTCCCTTGAAGACAATTCACTTGTTTTACTTAAAGAACCATTATTGAGTTAAAAAGTTTTGTGTCGTAATATTGTTGTAGTTGAAGACTGAAGATTACAGTTTTCGCCACGATCATGTTTTTCTTAGGGGTTTAAAATGTTATCTTAAAACTATCATTACTGAAATATATTGAATTAAAACAAAATATCGTCAAATACGTTTGTATTTTGATAAATCTTCAGTTAAGCGTGGAAACTCCTTTTAAATCTATCCGATGTTAACTACAAAGGTTAACTATTCAGAGACTGGTTTCGAGATAGATTTCCTCACGAAATCTGTTATAAATGGGATATGTCAAATTGGAGATAAGAAAAGTTAATTAATAGTGGGCAGGAATGTTGGTTGTGTTGTATTGAGGAATGATTGAAATTAGGAAATATTAATCTTTTGAAATTAGCACTCATCAAACTTATACCAAGTGGATAGCTACTTAAAACAATAGATGTCTAAATGCTTCTTTCCTCTTAGTTTTTGACTATATAGTAAAGTCCACCTATAACCCTACCTCAGAATTGAATCCAGAAGTTACGGATTTCTTCAAAATCATGATATCTTTAGAATACATATGTGTTGTCTAAATTCAGTAGATTTAACATTTAATACAACTTTTTCAAATTAGTCACTAGAATTATACAGATCCTATCTTTAGGAAGTTCCAGTCTATAACAAACCCCTATGTTCATAAAACAATTATTAGGCGAGACAATAAAAAATTTCTATTCAGACTTTTAAGCGGCTCGTTAACAGAGGAAAACAGACAGTTTTCCGGAGTAAACCAATGAATTATTGTTTGTATATCTTGTTTTTTATCAACGTTATTTTAAATACAACTCCTACATGGCTGTTTTCATCAACTCATTTATGTACATTAAAAGTTACGTCACTGAAACGTACTACATATTTTTATCAACAAGTTAATTAAAAATTCTTTTATACAGCGTCATTGCCATGACTAGGATTTCATTGTTTCTTATCAGTCAAATATATATATTGATCTGTTATTCCTGATTGGTTAACTCTCTGCGAATGGTATTTTACCATAAACTAGCATTCTGTTTATCATTTGAATGGATTCGATTATTTTAGTTTTTTTCAGCTTATAATGTAGTAAACGAGAACACAAGTGGGGACAATCGAATGTATTTAAACACGAAATTACAGAATTTCATAGTAAAATCTGAGAACCATAGACTAAGTACTCCTTTTGAAAAATACCAGTCAATCGTCTCAGACTTCACTATTCCTTAGTTTCCACACCAATCATTCTCTGTTCTCGTTCTTCTTCCTTCAATCTTCTTAACCTTCTACCTCCAAGTACTTCACTTTCGACTGATGATACATACTACTTATATCTATCGACATCAGTAGTACGCACCACGATAATAGGTAACAAAGTGTTTAATAACTTTCCATGCCAAAATAATGTCTCTTGTTAAAGAGATCACTAAGTGAGAAATAGTATTGTGATTTGTAAACAGTATATTCACACGTACTTATCATCTTCGTTTTCAGGATACAATTCTAATGTTAAGAATTGTTATCTTAAAAAAACTGCTCTATCAAAATATCTCCAAAAATATAAAATTACTTCATGTATAAAATTTAGTAAAGTTACGTAGACGAGTCTCCAGCTTCGTATAATAGCTTAGTAATATTGAATTTTAATGTTTGATTGCAGAATTTTAACTTTATAATCTGTTTTATTATTTCATAAGAAGAGAAAAGGTTTGATGTAATATTGATGTTTTGATAAAAACCTAGTTATCTTTAATTTGAATGGTTTGATCTCAGTTGGTTAATGAATGCTCATTTTATCCATAAAGTTTGTTTATTAAATTTATATATTCATATCTATTTTTAGTCGTTCAATTTAAATATCAAGCCTACAAGAATTCCTCAGTATCATTTAAGTTTAAACATTACCTCAAGCAGTGGTTGTCTACATGAGCTAGTAGTGGTAGTGGTAATATCTTGCATTTTTAATGGCTAAGTGATATTTATAAATTAATTGAGTTACCTTATTATTTTTGCCGTTTGATTCAAACCTAGAGATCTGAATGGTTACCGGTAATAGCATATTTTAAAACACGAATACTATTTGGTAATGGTAGGTAAAAGGACTAGAATATATGGCTCAAGTAAAAATAACTATGCTCAAATGCCTTTTTTTATAGGAAGCACTGGTCTCTCATCTTATTTAAATGAAACTGACAAAATCACTTTGAAATGATTTTTTAAGAAAATGACACTTAAAGAAGTTCTGATGAATATAACCAATTGAGACTATCAACATAACTACATTAGTCAATCTAGATGAAGAATAGTTTCTTGTTAATCGTCATTAAATACATCAGATAAGAAAACCAGTACATTTTAGTATTGTGTGTTCTCATGATATATTCTTGTTCGTTTCTTTGATTTGTGAAATTACATCAAGCTATAGAATTTCTTGGTTAACTTCCCTCTGATTCAACAACATTTAAAAGCTATCAAATATAAAAGATATGACACAATATACGTTTTTTCCTCAAGATTTCCTTTGGAAACTTTATCGTCTTTTCCTAATCTCCTCTTCAGCTGGAAGCTGGTTGATTTTCTCCCACAGAAGGCTGTTACTGATGGTATCCGGCCAATATAGGTTGAGTATCTTGCGCAAACCGCTATTTATCAACACTTGTACCTTCTTGATGATGGTTGTAGTAGTTCTCCAAGTTTCAGCTCCATACAGTAGAACCGTCTTGACGTTCGTATTGAAGATTGTGACTTTGATATTGGTCGAAAGTTGTTTTGAGTTCCATAGGTTCTTCAATTGTAGGAATGCTATCTTTGCTTTGACAATCCTCACCTTTACGTCTGCACCTGAACCTCCTTGTTCATCGATGATGCTTCCCAGGTAATTGAAGGATTCTACATCTTCTAGAGTTTTGCCATCTAGTGTGGTTGGATTGTTCTCTGTGTTATATTTGAGGAAACTTGGTTTTCCGTTTGTGTATATTGAGACCCACTGATGCGGAGACTGATACTGCACTGGCTGTCTTCATCTGCATTTGTTCGTGTGTATGCGATAGGAGGGCTAGGTCATCTGCGAAGTCCAAATCGTCTAATTGGTTCTGAGCTGTCCATCGTATGCCGTAGTTTCCCTCAGATGTCAAGGTCTTCATAATCCAGTCGATTACCAGAAGAAAGAGGAAGGGGGTTAGTAGACAGCATTGTCTGACTCCGGTCCTTACTTGGAACGCATCTGTCAGCTGTCCTCCATGCACGAGTTAATACTTTAGTACAATTAACAGTTTACATAATAAGACTTTATGTATGATAATAAATAACCATTATATTTTTTTCAATTTTTTAATTGATTTTAAACCTTACGTACATTACACGCACATAATAATATGCATAAAACGGAGTCTGGAGGTCTATCATCCTACCATATATGAAATTGAGGATACTAATTGTTGAAAGTTGGTTTGTGACAAAATATAAATTAAT